CACAAATGAAGGCCAGAGGTCTTTGGGCGCTTGGTCTCCAGGAGACGCGTCTGCCTGAGGACGCCCAACTTCCCGACGGAGAGTTAGTGATGCTTTGTTCGGGTGCTACAGCAAGCGGGTCCTATGGGTGTGCCTTGTGGCTGGACCTACGCGTCGCCATTGCTTGGCAGCAGGGTCGACCCTGTTATGTCACGAAAGACCAGATCCTTGTGACGGGCTACTCTCCGCGCCATCTTCAGGTCCAAGTAGTGGCTCCTTGGATCAGCCTTACCATCCTTGTTGCACATGGACCTTCCGCGGCCGGCGCCGATGCTTCTGCAGTCAGGGCGTTTTGGAGTCAGCGCGCTCACGACCTACAGAAGCGGCCAGACAACTCGCAAATTGTCCTTCTGCTTGACGCCAACAGCAGACTCGGTTCTGTCAGTACGGAAGTCGTAGGGGGACATGATGCAGAGCCAGAATGTGATGCAGGCACTGTCTTTCATGAATTCCTGCACGCAGTGCAATGCTTTGTGCCATCCACATTTTCTCAACACCATACTGGGCAATCGTGGACTTGGGTCTCTCCTAGCATCCCCCCTTTGTACAGGAGGCTTGATTATATTGGGGTCCCAGTCGGATGGCAGGGTTGCGACATCCAGACCTCTGTCTGGACAGGCATAGAGGCCCTGCAGCCGCGGCAAGACCACTACCCAGTTGTCCTCTGTGCTAAATTCGGCAAGGCCGTGGCACTCACGACTGTTTCCAGAGCCAAGCGTTCACCGTGCCGTCCGCCACTGGACATGTGCCCTGTGGATCGCGCCCTCTACATGGAAAGTCTTGTGGCCTCTCCGGATACTGCATGGCAGACTTCCGTTGATCAGCATTTCACACGTGTGGTAACGGACTATCGCAGGGCCAATGACGTGGTCCAGTCACATGCCCCTCCTAGGCCACGGCAGTGCTACTTGTCCCAGGAGACACTGGAGCTTGTTCAGTATCGCGCAGCCCTGCGAAGCTACATCAAACAGGAACAGCAGGAGTCCGATCGTCGCCTTCTGCTGATTGCTTTTGCAGCACTTGTCAGCCGAGTGCAGCATGTGCCTCTCGCACCAGATGCAACCCTCCGGGCGGCAAGGTGGCTTTCACAGATCGACATCAGCATCGCTCGTGCAGTGGCCGATTTGAGGCGGAGCACACAAGCGATTCGGATAGCAGTCAAGGTTGACCGCACTGCCTACCTGCAGCAGCTGACTTCGCAGATCTCACTTTGTGATCTGAGAGAGCCCAGGAAACTCTTTGCTGCGGTGCGCCGTGCTTTCCCAGCGGCCAAGTCTTCCAAACGATCCAGCTTTGTTCCGCTTCCAGCGATCCGTCTCGACAGTGGCGAGATGGCCGTGACACCCGCTCAACGCAGCCAAAGGTGGAGGGACTTTTTTGGGTCCCAGGAAGCAGGACATGCAGTCACCGACGCCCAATATGTCGAGCTTTTCAACCACCCCGACATCCCGGTACTGCCAGATGGCCCTAGCTTCAGCTTGGGCGACCTGCCCACTTTACTGGACTTGGAAGAGCACTTGCTCGCAGCCAAAAAGGGCAAGGCCGTGGGACCAGATGGCTTGGCCGTGGAGGCATATCAGGTATGTCCTGGAATGTCGGCACTTAAGCTGTACCCCCTTTTCCTGAAATCCTTTCTTGGTGTGAGAGAGCCAGTGGAATGGCGTGGCGGCACGCTGATGGCTCTTGCGAAGCGCGCAGTTACCGCGCTTGACTGCTCCGGGTATCGTTCCATCTTGTTAGCCAGCACCACGGGGAAGATCTATCATAAGGTCCTTCGGGGTAAATTGGCTCCACACCTTGAGAACTTCAAACACGGGCAGCAGGCCGGAACGTCTCGTGGGATTGGAGTGGACACCATTTCTTTGATGGTCCGCTCGTTCCAGGGTTGTATGATGCGTCGTTCCCACTCCACAGCCATCACTTTTTACGACCTCAAGGCGGCTTACTATCGGGTATTGCGGCAGGTTTTGTTGAAATCTCCCGATGAAGATGCTGCTCTTCTGAGGTTGCTGCAGAAAGCCGGCGTTCCCCCTCATGCCGTGGGTGAGTTATGTGAGCATCTTCAGTCCATGGCTACCCTGGATGAAGCCAAGGTTTCAGGACATCTGCAGTCGGTGATTGCCGACCTTTTCCGGGGTTCATGGTTTAGGCTCGAACCGGATTCTCTCCTCACAGCCACGCACCGTGGTAGCCGACCCGGTGACCCACTGGCTGACCTCCTGTTTGGATTTTGTTTCGCCAGTTACCTTCGATCTGTCGAACTTACCCTTGAACAGAAAGGTCTTTCCACTAGTGTGCCTAAGGAGGAGTGTGCAGCGCCATGGCACTCCTGGGATGTGCCTCCTACCATCCAACATGCCTCGTGGGCGGACGATTATGCCCATCTGCAACAGGCCGCCACGTCAGCTGACCTTGAGCATGTTGTAGTTCAGGCGGTACAAGTTCACCTGGAGCGAGCATCCTCGGTAGGCATGGCGCTTACCTTCGCGACGGACAAGACGGCCACCCTTCTTCCCTTGTCATGCACGCGGGCTCCGCTACCAGTCACACCACAGAACCCTGATGGGCTTCCAGGATTCTACATCCAAGATGACATCACTGGGTTGCGCCACTTCCTACCCATTGTGGACTCCTATCGCCACCTTGGGGGAATCATCACTGCGAACTGCACCCCCTCCGTTGACATTGCGTACAGGTTCTCTATGGCCTCGGCTGTCTTGCGTCCTCTTAGGAGACGTTTGTTCGCTGCCAAAAGCGTGCCTTTGACCACCCGCATTGTCTTGTTGCGGAGCTTGGTGGTGTCTCGGTTTGTCTTTGCGTGCGCGGTTGTCGACCTCAATTCGGCCATTCATCGTCGTACCTGGTGTCGACACTATGTTGAGCTATGGGGAGCTTTGCAGAGAGCCGGCAAACCACAGGATCGCCCACACTCGTACCGACTCTTGTTACAGGCGGACGCACCTTCGCCGTTGCTGGCCCTGGCCTTGTCCCGTGCAGTTTTCTTGAAGCGACTTTTGACCTACGGCCCGGCGGCAGTACTGCATCTCCTGCACATCCATTGGCGAACCAGACCTGCTTCGGCATGGCTCAATCAGTTGTGCAAGGATATGCAAGCAGTTGCTGTGTATGTGCCAACGATCGGTCTGATCTTGAACAGTAGCTGCCCGGTAACGACTTTGATCGAGACGGCCCAGGACGACCCGAGCTGGTGGCCAGCACAAATCAAGCTTGCCATCAAGGCTTATAAGCAGGATCTTCTTGCTTGGGCACAGCGACAAGAAGCTCCTGCGGAAGCTCCGACTCCCGGTCCTGCGGGTCCCCTTCCCTTCCAATGCAGGTGGTGCTCCGCTACTTTTGCTCTGCATAAGGCTGTAGCTCTGCACGAGGCTCGCAAACATGGAGCATTGTGTCCCGCTCGCCATTACTCGAGAGCACCCTGGTGCATCGCCTGCTTGAAGTTTTGTCACTCCTTAGAGCGTGTGCAGTACCACCTCCGCCGTAGTAGCGAGTGTCTGTTGCGCAGTGCACACCTGGTCCCCCCGCTCTCCCTCGAACAAATCAGGGATAATGAGCACGACGAAGCGCTTCGTCGACGCAAGGTCAGACTAGGGGGGTGGCACAACTACTCTGCGGCCACGCCGATCCTGCAGTGTCAGGGTCCGTTAGCTCCCACATACCAGGAGGCCATTAACGGGCTGGACGAAGATGAACTCACGGTAGGCCGGATCCAGACTCTCTTCCGTCCTTCCCCTGAAACACTTACCTGGGTCGAAGAGTCCGTGTGCAGAGAGTCCAGGGAAGGTGCCAGGTCCGGTACAGCGGACTTCTGGCTGCAGCGACCAATCCACGTTTCACCGTCGAATTCAGGCGCATTTTTGGACGCGCCCGCATAGGGCACGACATGTCAGCACAGGAACAGGAACAGGAACACTATTGTGGCGGTTGCTTATCATAGTTATAGTATAATTTACCCCAAAAGCCCGATTCCAATTATTAAGGCCCTATAATATGAATCCGAGGTCATCCTCTCCAAGAACGGATCCTTGGCCTTGATGATCCTTCCACGGAGAGGCCAGCCTGAGAGTTTCCGAAAATTAGGGGTACCTTATTTAAGGGTCCTTACAGAAAGGATCCTACTATTTAGGGTACTATCTTAGGGTCCCCTGTTTTCGGAAACCCAACCTGGTGAGATCACCGTCGCATGAGATGATGTGTGCGTGTGTTGTTGTGTGTTTTTGGGTGAGGTACGGGGGGGTTTTAGGGGTTATGGGTTGGGAGTTTTAGGCTTTAGGGCTTCAGGGTTTTAGGGTTTGGGATGTGGGGATTGGGGTTTAGGGTCTGCCGGCCTGTTGGCTAGCGCGTTCTTGGGTGCTCGTGCTGTCGCCAAATCGGCGTTGTTTATCTGAACCGGTGTCCCAGTCCCTGTCTGCGTGCCAATCGTTGTCGTGGTGTTGTTGTATATTCTGTCATCTGCCCTGTTTATTTTTTGGGTTTTTTCCTGCGCATGTCCCAAGTCTCTGCTGCCGCAACATGGGCGTGACAGGTGCGCCGGTTCTGCGCTCCTGTTCGAAGTTTGTGTCTGGGCAATTACCAGTAGTTGATCAGATTTGTAGTTGGGACTTCACTGTGCCACTACATGGTATAGCTCACGTCGGCAGAGACTTGGTGATTCGTACATGCACAGAGTCTGGCTCTTGCAGAGATTACAACATACCCAACTGGAGAACGATCCCAAAATGCTGACAAAGTTCACAGGCCGAATTTCCCACATGTTGGCAAGAGATTCCGTCAAGTTCCGAGGTGCCGCTGAGGCAGTGGCTGCATGTTGCGTGCCAGCGTCGGGGGTCCTCGCTCGACTTTTTCTTGAAACTTGGCTTCGTTGCAGCAGTTTGCTCATGTCTGCTGCATCTTCGCAACATCCGGCAGCGCGCTATGCCAGGAATGGCACCAAAGTCTGCAACATGCCAGCTCCTGCTGAGTTGGAAAGTTTAGAGCCGCAGACCACGGTGAAGATTGGTCGCTGCTCGTCCTGATTCTTGGAAATTAAACCAACGGAGCTGCATGTGGTGTTTGGCATGTAATGTAGAGGGTGGTGTGGTGATGTTCTGTTACAAGGCAGCACTGAGCAGAGAAAGCTGCAAAAGCAAAGTTGCTTCCACGTGGAATGTTCAAGGTGCTAGGATGATAGACAGTGGCCGGGGTAAGTCGCTTCAATGCGTGGATAGCTCATCAGTTTCGGTGTCCGCTACAGATCTAGTTTCCCCGGTCTATTTAGAGGAGACTTCTGCCAAAGCTACGCACAAAAGTCAGTGCTGCCAAACGTTCTTTTGGCATGCTTTCGAACAGCACAATTCAGTTGCAGGTGCGGCGACAAATGAAGCAGACTCCAGTCTCGCTTCCCTGGTCTCCAACATGCGACTCACTGGCGCGGCGCTTTACGAGCCGAAGCTTGGCTTCATCGTTTCGCGAAGCAGTCTCCGTAGCTTTAGGTGCCGGTCTGGAGGGCATTGACTCGGGAACGGCTGTGCTGGCACGTCATTCAGATGTTAGGAAAATCGGGAAAGCCAAAACTCCTCCAACTTCGGAGAACAGTGTCGCCACGCGATCATGTACATTCGAACTTGTCGCCGAGGGTACACGATACTATGATCCACTCTAGACTTCGCAAATTACTGCCTCTGCCCTCACGGCCTCCGATCCAGAATTCCGTAGCCCCAGGCCGGCAGGTATTCCGGAGCGCCATTTGCAGCTGCACCCAAAGACGCACTTCCTGCTGCATGGAGGCGCAGCGTTTGGTGGAAGCCACGCACGATAAAGATAAGTTCAGATGGCTTTTCCGAAGTGACTTGCTGACAGCATATCTGACATGAGACGGAATGCTAGGGTGGGGTCCAGTGCGTAGCGGTGTCCTCAACCTTCCGAACCGTTAATTCACGGCAATTTCTTAGTGACCAGATAAACGAAACGTGTTGCTGGCCGCTTGCACTAGCTAGTATCTTTTCAGCATTCGTGTCAGCAGCATGGGGCTTGGATATCCATGTATGTATGCATGCGTGCATGGATGGATGGATGTAAGGATGGATGGATGCATGCATTGATGGGATTGGATTTGATTGGATCGATGGATGGATGGATGGATGGATGGATGGATGCATGGATGCATGGATGCATGGATGCATGGATGCATTGATGGATGGATGGAGGGAGGGAGGGATGGGATTGGATTGGATTGGATTGGGTTGGGTTGGGTTGGGTGGGATGTGATGGGATGGGATGGATGGATGGATGGATGGATGGATGGACACGGGTTTCCAGCAGGCAAGGTTAAAGCTGGACCATGACCCGAAGTTGTACGAGCTTTCTTCTAAGAACCCCCGGGTCAAGTTTGGAATCCTTGCTGTGAAGAAGCCCCAAGATTACCAAGAGACTCCCTTGTTCCTCGATGGCCTACCATGCCGCCACAATTGCCTCAACCCTGAACCCCTTCAATGGTACTACCCCTGCTATCATCTACGGACGGTTTCTTAATCATGGGATTTCATGCAGTCTGGCCGTCTGCGCCGTACACCCAAAAACACGAAAACCGCAAGCCTTAAACCCACCCTCCTTCGCGAAACAATGGGATCAACAAAGCAACACCATCGAGCCCTAAACTGACTAGGGGATTTTGGATAATGTAGGCGGGCGATACCTCTCCGGTGGCAGGATTCATGGAAATAGAAATTTATAAGGTAGCGTCTATAATATAGACGTGACCTCTCAGGTGGCAAGTTCGTGTCAGTTATCACCGCTTGCACTTCAGTGCATGACCGTCTGCACTGTTGCTGCAAGAACAGATCAGCATGTCGGTTTCACAGGTTTCTTTCAAGTTTTCAGAAGTCTTCAAGTTTCCAGAGTTCAGAACCATGGCAAGAACAGCGGGTACCTCTGCTCTCACAGCAAGACAGTCTGATTGACGCATCAATGCGAGCCGGTCAGGGCCTGTTGCGTCGCTCGAAGCGGCGAACACCTGGTGCCAGGGCGGAAGAGAGTGGAAGCGAAGCAGAAGCTCCAGCGGTGGTAGAAGTTCTAAAGTCTCCAGCGGTGCCTGAGGAGGTCTCCAGTTCCGTACACAGACCCCAGACAGACCAGTCCTGGCAGAAAACGAGGTCGTGCCCGCACAAGTGGTCGAACCAAGTTGGACTCTCGAGTCTCACTTGCGGAGCTTTACTCGTGCTCGCTGTTTGCATCGGTTGGTGCCGTTGTTGGTCAACTTTGGCTTCTTAGGAGGAACGTCACCTCCAGGAGGAAGCACGTGCAAGGACCTGGCAAAGTCGGCCAGGAAGCTCGAAAAGACCAAAGACAAGTGCCTCTGGCGCTGCAAAGGCTGCCGAAAGACCATGGCGTTTTTGCAAGAGACCAGAATCTCTCTCTTTGACGCCAAGCTTTCGATTCGGGCAATGGCTGGAACGGAACTCTCACAGTTGGAGGTCTTGGACAGGGTGTTGAACTGGATTCAGTCAGAATTCGATGTGTTGGTCGTGGCCACGGCATTGTTTGGCTCCGGCATCTTGCAGTGGTTCGACGTGGATCTGCCATGGTGTGGATTGAACCTCTGCCTTACAGAATTTCTTCTGCTGGACAGGGTGGTGGAGGCCCGATTTCTTTGCAGGAAATGCGTGAGGCTGTGCTTGTAGGTGCTGATGAGTCCATGCTTGCTGTAGGTTCGGGCGGAACTCAGAAACCTGATGGGTTCTCTGCCGTTTTTCGTAAAGACATAGGTAAGCGGCCCTTGAACACGGCGACGGCAGGGCCCTCTACGGAAAGCGCAAACCGCATGGAAGCACTTATGCACCAAGCTGTTCGTCTTTGCCAATTTGCGTTTTGGTTTGGCGGACACAATTTGTATAGTGTGTTTGGCAAGCTGCGACAAGTGGAGCGGGAATCTCCGGGCTCCTTGTCTTGGGCTTCACTTGCTCACTTTAAGTCTGTGGACGGCACTGTACAGAAGGACCTTGTTGAGGAAGAGGGTTCTGCCGAAAGCGATGTTTGACTGCTTGGTGGCTTCTTTGCGCAAAATAGGATTGTTAGGTTTTTAGGTAAGTCCAAAAAGCTACATCTGTAGGTTGGAAGGTTGCTAGTTCTGCTGGTTTGGTAGGTAGGTAAGAAGGGGGCAAGGTTGGAAAGTAGGCAAGTAAGTAGGTTCCAACCCTTCTAAAGGCGTCCTCTTGAATGAGACGTACCTCTCAGGCGGCAGAGTGTCCTTGGTTGAAAGCCAGTCAAGCAGCCTTGCACAGCACAAGCACTCTGAGAGGCGGCGACTTTAATTAGACGGTATCCCTCAGGTGGCTGGCTGTGTCGTTTTTTGCAAAAAAAGCAAGAAACACAGTTTTTTTTCCGCGTCGCGCGCGCTGTTTCTACTTATTAATAGTTCAACCACCGGAAATGTCACGCTCGGCATGTTGTACTGTTATAACATGAAACGATAGAATATTCAGATACAACCCAGCATAGTATACACTATATTAGACGAGTACTGATCGTATTGTAGCAAGGGACGTAACCAAAAAGGTTGCAGAGTCTCCTTTTGCAGTCTGAGGCTACCTTGATCAGGTGAGCTCCAGACCGCTCCTCATCTCAGGAGCAAGTCTGCACTAGGCTCTCGTTAAGGGTTTAGGGTTGAGGAGTTTAGGGTTTTGGGGCTTAAGGTTTAGGGTTCAGGAACTCAGTCTAAGTTGCCATAAGCAGAAGACCACTCTATTTATAAATTAGAATAGACCCCAATTATGGTAACTAAGAAGAACCCAGTTTAGGGTCGTAGAAGAAGGTTGAACCGTTGGGGCTTGAGCGTAAATTAGTTTTGGGGTGAGGGGTTTCGGTTTTGAAGCCTGAACCCGGGGCTCAGGTGCGCGGTTTCGATTTAGGGTTCAGGCTGCAGGGGTCGGGGTTCAGGGTTTACGCTTTCGGGTTCAGTGTCTACAATTGTTTTGGTGTTGGGTTCGTGGCCAGATGCCCAAGACGGTTGAAAAGGTAGGGTAGCAACAGCTCGCCGCAAAATCAGCAACATTGGATGCTGCAGGACATGGCTTGATGGAGGGTATCGTGAATCGCGGATACCCCACCAGAAAGCTTCTCAATTAAAGTTGAGTGTAGTGACACTGCCATGCAGAGAAGTTCCGCATGTTGCATTCCCACATGTTGCAGAAAGCACGCTAGGAAGGAGGGTGTTGAAGCTTTTTGCCGAGGCTCAAGCATCCTGCTATGCGGGAGCTGCAGCTCAATCTCTTTCCCGAGCAGGAGTCGATCCCTTCATGTTCGGGTTGCGTAGTCCTCCCGAGACGCGTCTCGCTCCGACCTGGGAAGTCCCCGGCTTTTTTCTTACTGCTGGCAACAGGAACTTGAACTTGCATCATAATATTACATTATACATACGTATGTATATATATATATACACACATACATACATATGTATACCTTGCAGTAAATACTTATCATAATTAACAGATCATACATATATATATATATGTATATATATATATATATATAGATTGTAAATCATGTGTCGTTCAAGGGTTTCGCTGCAAGATCCGGAAGCCCTGGAGTCAGGACCGCGCCCTGCCGGGTGGAATACCTGGCAAGTGGGGCCCACAAGCCGGCAGGAGGGCAGGATTCTGCGCCCGAACGATCTTGACGATCATCAAGGATGGGGGCGGAGTGCAGAGCTAGCCTAGACTCTAGCCCCGAAACATCCCCTTCTCGTGATTTTTCGGCGGATAGGGTTTGCCAGTCTTCGGGGCAGCTAAATGGCGTGATGTGTCGTTAGCCTATAGCATCGCAGTTTTTCTTGTGTCCGCCACGATTTTGGATGGACTCGTAGAGAATGCAGTTGTATGTCGTTGCGTGATCCGTGCATGTACATGGCATGCTCTTGGTATATGCCAGATTTCTGACTCTCATTCTACCCCTTCTACCAGTTCGCGAGACGAGGGCACGTTGTGGCTGTGGACTCGCCGCGAGGATGCCGGCACCATTGCCGCGTCCATCGAAGCCGACCTGAAGGTTTGCCAGGCCTCGCAAGTCTTATGGGGGCGGCTTCGCGTTTGGAAGCTGCCGTAGTGTCTGTTCCAGTCTTTTCTACGACCCTTCTGGCTCCAGGACAAGAAGCTTGTCGGCATGGAGTGTGCAGTGGATGCCACGCGCGTGGTCCGCTCAGCTGGCAATGCGGCAAAGTACATGGCGGAGCGCCGGGTCTGCCCGAACCTTTGATTACTCCCCATGTTCCATATGTAGGGCCGCAAGGCCGTATCTAGCGGCGGGCACAGGATATGGAAGTGATGCGTGCATGTTCGAAGTTCGAAGCCGAAGTTGCCGGAGCTGTCCAGGAGCTCCCGGTTCGCGGCTGCCGTCAACGATGGCTCCCAAGCGAGCACAAGCCATGCGGAAACCGCAGTGTATGACTTTTTCGGCTTTGGGCTTGCGAAGCAGATAAGCGTAGCTCGGACTCGCTGCGTGTGCACGAGGGTTGCCAATGTTCAGATGTCGAATGCAATGACCCTTAAATGACTCGCATATCGACAGCCGATATCTTCAACTGAGGTTCCGCGGCTACTTCTACTGCGGGGGTCGCATGGAGGTCACTGCCGGCAGAGAGTTGAAGATTTCTATCGGGGATCCCGTCAATGGCACTCCAGGCCTGCATTGCTTTTCTTGTCACGAGTTCCCTGCGAAAGGGTGTGGCATGGGAGTTGGACGTTCTTGGAACGGAGCTGGGCGGCACGTTCGCAGAGGAATCTTTTTCATTGTTCAATTGTTCAATTTCGCGACTGTCAAGATCAGAACAGTTGCTTTTTGATGACGATTTTGCACGGTGTTCTATGGCTCGTACGTGGGTGTAGGACGTCAGTCCCCAATGGTCGTGGTGCTGGAGCTGTGAGTTGTGCCGCCGGTACTCCGTTTTGCTGCGCCTGCTGCATTCCCTGCACGCTCAACGCTTGCTGGAAGATATCTCTCCACTTTTAAACAGAACTGCCGCACGGCTGCTCAACAGTTCTTGAATGCTTGTTTCCAGAGTAATTAAGCCTGGATCAGATGTCAATCCGCTTTGTTGGAGATGGAGAGGTGTTGTCGTGGAATGATTGCTGCAGCAAAGCACGGCTTTCTCCTTCCTTTGCTGCGCAGTCGAAAGGTTCCACTGTGGAGTCGTGTCACAATCTGGACCTGGACTATCGCCACATCATACGGATGAATGCTACAAAGAAGGGCATCAATTGGGGCACCACGGTTGCACTATGTCATCGGGCCCATGCTTTAAAACAGCAGCACAAGTCAGTAAAGGCACCGACGTGCCGGAAGGTCCCCTTATCAATTCTGTCTCATGCATGGCGAGGTGTAGTTCAACTCCCCCAGATTCCTGGAAAGGCCAAATCACGGACGCCATGCGAGCCTAAAGCTGGCCATGCCTCTGCCATGAAAGATGCAAGATATGCTTTTCCACTACAGTAGGAGATTGAGAGGGTGAGGCGGGCTCTGTGTCTCTCTGTGTGCGTGTGGTTTTCTTCATGATCACACACACATACAGCATGCGAGAGAAAGCTGTTGACGCAGACCTGAGACTGCTTTGTGCAAGTTTTCGAGGTAGGTGTGCTGGAGAAGTGGCCTCCTCGGCTGCCTACGCGCCGCTGGGTGAAGTTGGGATTCGTACGCACCATCGCAGTCTGAATCCTGTTTGTGGAGTGAGACGCTTCCCAGTCAATACCCTGCTGGCCTCCCAGTTCCACTGCCGGCCTCTATGTGGCGAGTGCTGGGGGCTTTGATTGCCCAGCTGCCGTGACGCCCAAGCAGAAGAAGGACGCCGGAGCTGCAGAGACCCGACTCCGAGTGTGTGTGTGTGTGTGTTTTCTGGTGATCACAGGAAGCTTTCAAGGTCTCCAAGAATCCCTGGCAGTACAAACGGCTCACCAAAAAGTGCCTTGGCCGAGGTCATGTTCCTAGGTCCTAGACTCCTAGACGCGACATCACCAAAGCAGCTTCTGTAATCCTCGGGCAACAGCCCTACACCCCAACCCTATAAACTCTGCTTTCTTCGCGCGGTACATCATCGATCCTTTTATCTCCTCTGTTGCCATGCCCAATGTACCTGATCAGCGGGCCAAGAGCCTTTTTCGGGCTTGGGGTTTGCGGTGTAGTTCAGCGCTTAGCAAGGTCGAGGATTCAGGACTTAGGGTTTAGTAAGGCTTAGGGTCTAGGGATTAATGTTTTAGTAACGTTTAGGGTTTAGAGTTTGGGATCAATCCTGTTCCCAGGCTTACCCCTGCCGACGCGTTCAGGACCGACTGCGCCATAGAGCCTTGGACAGAAAGCAGCCACTTAGCAGCTGAAGATGCGACTCTAGGAGTCGCCATGGTTCACCCACCGATCCCGGAATAACAAAGACTGCGTCATTATGTACCCATATTTTGCCTCAGGGTTCCTTCTGAAGATGATTATGCCATAATGCGCCCCGCCCACGACCCGATTCGAATTATGAAGGCCCGCATATTGCTGTGCTTTGAGAGTAGGGCCGAAAAGGATCAAGAGCAATCCTTAAACGGGTTACGCGGGTACTCGGGTATTGATGCAAGAAATCCGTGGCAGGGTCCCGAATCCCTTGCACTGCCTTACACCCTAACCGGCCCTGAACTGTGTGGACGCTCAAGGAAGTCAAGTCTGAACTCTAAGTCTGGCAACTGCTACTTCCTATTCCTATTTCATTTCCTAGTCAACATGAGCCCTAATCCCTAAACCAAAAGTATAAACGGCCCTCCAAGAAAAATTGACAGTGTAGCCGAAATCCCAACAAAGTCCACAAGCTTTCCTCACAAACCACCTTTGGTTAGCAGGGAATGGAAGAATGGTAGTAATAGTAGTTATAATTGTACCCCATTCCTCCATTCCCTACTAACCAAAGGTAAGCTCACTGCTCCGGGCATCGAAATGGGAGTTTCCGAATATAGGGGCCCTAATATAGTACCCTAAATAGTAGGATCCTTACTATAAGGACCCCCAAATAAGGTAGCCCAAAATTTCGGAAACTCCCAAATCCTTCGTCTGCCCCCAAGGAGTCGCTAGCCTTTACCAGGATGATGTTTCTCTCCGGTGCGAAGGCCGGCCGCAAGCTAACCATGATAAGTAGCTACACACAAACACACACACAATATATATATATATATATATATACATACACATACTATATACAAATGTTACTAGAATATGTGTATGAATATCAAAGCAAGGATGGAAACAACAAGTATACATGTGCAGATGGTTTCGTAAAAGAGCATCAGAGGTTTCCCAAACAACCAAGCCAGACCCAGCCAAACCAAGCCGACCCAAGCCAAGCAAAAATAATGATGAGTTTTGCGCGTCATTTGAAGCAACAAGCGCTGTTTGACTCGATGCCTTGACTAGCAGCTTCGGAAACAAGAGAAGCCTAACACATGCTTGACTGCAGGACTAAGCAACGGGAATCCCTGCACATACACCTGCACATGTACCCATATGCGTGTACACTGATGTCTGGTTGTAAGTATGCTACATGCATGTGTTTTTTGTACATGCTTTTTGATGTATATAGGAGGTAGGCAGGTGTAGGTTGCTATCCTGTGATTACAAGCCTTTATGTAATAAGGTATATGCACTTGTAAGTGCATGTGCATCCCCATAATGACGCAAGTGCCGAGCCAATACGAGGCCACTGAAGCTGGGCAACACTGCTCCGGACCATCGAAAACAGTCACCGGGCAAGAAAGATTTTGCAGGTTCCCTGCCCCCTGCTTTTAGGCACTCATGAGCAGTAGGTCTAAATTTAGTTCAGGTGCAGTGAGCATTGGGGGGGACCAGACGTGCCCCAGGTTTGTCCCAGGAATATCTTCCTCTCCTTGGCAGCCTTTGCCGGCGTTGGGGAGGCCGCATGTGGGTCTGCAAGGGTTCGGGTGCAGGCCGCACAGGAAGACTTACGGAGCGGCGCGACGTTCTGCCATCAACACGTTCGCCTGTGGTGCCAGAGCAGGGTCATATGCAATGAGCGATGCAACTGGTATCTACCAGTACAGGCCCGAGGATTATCTTAGCTGTCGCTCCAACCGCTGAATCTTGGTATCCCGATGCAGATTGGCGGCGTCCTCCACAAAAGGTGCCTTCCACGTACGAGCTGCTGTAGATACATCAAGTCCGACTACGCCCCTTGGCCGTCTCAGGCTCATGTTGTCCGGACTTTGCTTGGTTCTTCGTTGTTCTGCTTAGCAACAGCTCTGTATGTTCGCTTGGAACTGGACCAAACGACGGAGGCGAGCCGAAGCGTTCCGAGCCAAGCCAAGCCAGTCGCAGACGTGCCGGAGACATCTCGCAATGAAAGAGCTCCCACACTTTTCCGAGCAAGCAGCAGGTGTACTTGCGTTCAGCAGAGCATAGTGCCGCGCGCAACCCAGCACGCAGGAAGCACCGAAATACAACATAGTATTTGTCGAACATGTATGTTATGCAGAATGATATGCCGAATGTTTGTCCGGCCTGCCCAATCCTTGCACGCTCACACCACACTGTACCTTTAGACTTAACCGAATCCTCAAAGCCTACGCCTTCATCCCCGAGCGCTAAGCCAGAATGCTCTGTATGCAGGCGTTGAATAGCAGGCTCCTCTCACTCAAACCTACACAAGCTTATCAACCCGCGATAACATCTCGACAGAAGGCACCACTAATTCTAAAGAGCTCTTGGAACGCCACCATGAAAACCCTAGACCCTAAACCCTTACCCCTAAACCCTGAACCCCTACACCCTGAACCCCCAAACCCAAAACTCTTGACTGTCGGGCCTCAGTCGCTTTTTCTCGCGTCAGGTCTGCAGCTGCGGCGCTGTGGACTGCGGGGGGAAATGGATTTTGTCCAAGGTTCTCCGAGTGGTTGTTGTGCCAGTGGTGGTAGGAGAAGTCGTGGTGGTGGTGGCGGTGGTTGCAGTGGTGGTGGTGGTAGCGGTAGTGGTAGTAGTAGCGGTGGTAGTCGTCGTCGTAGTAGCAGTAGTAGTAGTTGTTGTTGTTGTTGCTGTTGTTGTTGTTGTCGTACTCGTCGTAGTAGTAGTAGTCGTCGTCGTCGTCGTAGTCGTAGTCGTAGTCGTAGTCGTAGTCGTTGTTGTTGTTGTTGTCGTTGTGGCTGTTGTTCTTGTTGTTGTTGCTGCTGCTGCTGCTGCTGCTTGTTACTTGTTCTGGCGAACTCAGAATCGTCTTCGATTGGCTCAGCGCAGCTTGTTTTATGGGAGTTTTCTCGAGCTGTCAAGAACTCCATGCCAGGAGCGCCAGAAAGCTTGGAACACGAACCGGCTTCGTGTGGGAAAGTGCGCAAGGTTTGCAGGTGGGGCCCTCAAGCTTGGGGCTTCGGACACGATGGAGGGGAAGTCTGCGAAGTAGCAACGTGTCTTGAGCAGCCAGGTGGAAGACAGGGAACCTCCCCATCCAGAAGCAAAGCCACTCCGCTCAGGTTCAACGGCCAAGCTGATTGGATCTGCTGTAACGAGCCTTGGAGTAAATTATGTAAAGCTGCCTCCAAGCCGAATCAACTTCCGAAGCAGCGCTTGCAAGGTTTGCTGCGGAGGCTTTTGATGCATGTGGGGACGACAAGAGCCTTCCCGCGGTGTGCTCGTCCATGGTCACCTTCGCGCCGCGGGGGCTGCAAGTGGGAGCTTTCTTGTACAGAAGGCAAGTTGGATGTTCTTGTGTGCTATCAACCAGCACGCGGTTATGTCCAAGGTCTACACCTTGCCATTTGGGTTCATGCTTACAGGCAAGCACACAGACAGACCGAGAGACAGAAGGGAAGAACAGAGAAGAGAGAGAGAGAGGTCACTACATGCATGTTACAAGTCCCGGATCCCTCAACTCTGTGATACTTATCTTGTTGTCGTTGGCGCCGACATGACGTAAATGCGCAAAACCGACATGCCGTTTGCATCGTTTTTTTCAGCGTTTCCTACACTCGAAGTGCCTTTCGCATCGGTGCCGTCGGTGTTTCGTTGGTCTGCAATTCTTCGTTTTTGTGACGTCCGGAATCCTCTGCTTGGTAGTTGCAGCGTTTTCCTGCCTTCGGGTGGTGAACACATCGTAGTTTACGGTGTTCGGTGGGTCTTGGGGGCGTGGGGGGATAGTTCCTCCATTGAATTGTTTTGGAGATGGAAAGAATTCGGCGGGGGGGATAGTTCCGTCACTGGTTGGAAACAGCTTGGGCAGGGGAGAGTGCGGGGGCGGGGGGGGTGGGTGGTTGGGTGGGGGGGGGGGGGGGGTTTCCGTCGTTAGTCTGTAGATTTTCCGTCGTTAGTCTGTAGATTTTCAACCGAAGTCGAAGCCTGGGTTTAGGGTTTGGGATTTAGGATGATGACGCTCCTGCTGATCATGATGATGCTGATGATGATGATTTCTTTGGGCCTGTCTTCTACAGGGAGGGTTGATGATGAGACAACCCGGAGACAGGCTCAACGGAATCCCACCAGAAAATGATGATGATGATGATGAACATGATGTTGACGCTCATGATGATGATGGTGATGAACATGATGAAGATGATGACGGTGCTCATGATGATGATGATGATGATGATGCTGATGATGACTATAAACACACATATATATGTACATCTATGTACACATGCATATCTATATATCCATATACATATACATATACCTATATATATATATATATATATATATATATGTATATATATATGTATATATATACATATACATATACCTATATATATATATATATGTATATATATATATATATATGTATATATATATATATGTATATATATATATATATGTATATATATATATATATACATATTCACGTATGGTCATGATGCAGTTTTCACCTTCAACCATTAGAATTAATACTGACACTCAGACACCTCAGACCCGAGACACCTTTTCTCTTCAAGATGCGTCGCTGGCTGGCCCGCCTTCGTAGTTTGCTGGTGCTTCTCCGTGAGCATGGCTCCTTTTTGCCGGCCACACTTGCTGACTTCGCATATTTTCCCATAGAAGAACTGCGCGAGCTTGTGTTCCTCCTGCTCTGCCAGGCTGAGGAGGATGCTGTGGCATGTTGTGACTTCGTCTGCTGCAGAGGCGGTAGACATCTTCTATGCTCCTCTGAGCTGGGATGCCCTCGCCACAGACGAGGCCGTCATACTTCTTTCACATTCTTTTGAGCTCCAGACGATGCCCAGCTTTTGCAGGTTCCGCTGTCGCCGATTACGGCTGCCCACTACAGCTTGCTGCACAACCCGGAGGCCTTGAGTCCAGCAAACTCGTTGGACTCGCCGCGCGCCGTGTGTCTCAAGCTCTACAAATACTCCCGGATGTCTTCGACGGCTGACTGTTCAGAGTCAGTGGATGACTCCTCCGAGCACGGTCTTGATGTTTCGTCCTGCTGCTCTGTTCCTTCTCCCGCTTCTGAGTTGCTGCGTGACTGCCAGGAAGACAGGCCAATGCAGTCGGATGACATAGAGGTTAGTTCTGCCACTTCGTCGCGACTTGCTGCAACCGGCTAGGACTTTCATGGGCTCTCCTGCGGCCGGGTTCTTCGCAACACTGGCTTCACGAAGAAACTGCGACCGGCCAAGTGTGGCCGCTGCACAGTCTGCAAGGACTTCATTTTACGTTTTGGGTTTTTCCAGCTTACCTGTGTCCGAAGCTTCTATCCTAAACCTAAAACCCCAAACCCAAGACCCTAAACCCTATGGCCGCTGCACAGTCTGCAACGACTTTTGGTTTATCAAGTTTACATATGTCGGAAGCTTCTATCCTTGAACTTGTGTTTTTCTCCCGAAACATTTAAATTCCGAAACCTCCACCTCTCCGGATAGATGATGCCTTCGGGCTTTCGAAGATCAGGAGATCTTACGGCTCACTGCGCATCGAACCGGACGGCATAGAGGTGAAGTGATTTTGAGGTGCCAGAGTTGGGAGTTCAGCGCTTCCGATCGCAGGCTCTCCTAGCAGTGGCACCCCTACAACGGCGAGTTGTCTTCGTTGCCCAAACAGTGCAGACAGGCTCTTCTCGAGATTCGTGGAAGCATCGACGTCGCCTTGAAGCGTGATGCTGTTGCTAAGACTTGTGTGTGTGTGTGTGTGTTCCTCGGATGCTTGGCTTGTCGTCACGGCTGCCATGACAAGCGCAGGGATGCCACACATCTCTGCCAAGCATCAGGTCGACGAGATGACGCGCGTGAAGAACATTGCGAAGTTCGGCCTCACCGCCCGGCAGAAAGACCTCCTGAGACGCTATGTTGGTCGGATGTCGGAGACAGAGGCTGGCGGTGGAGACCAAAACGTCCTGCAAGATGTTGGCAGGAGACAATGCCGCGGAAAGCGAGGTGAGCAGATTTAAGAGTGAGCTTCGCAGAGTCAACGCGCTTTATGCGTTTTGACGATATGCTCCGAGGACAATCCACATGGAAACTTTGGCCGGCCGACGATTGCTCGAGAAGCCAAGACTCGAAACGGTTCTTTTCCACCGGAGCACTTCTTCGATGCCGCGAAAGACCGCGACTGGCTGTTCGCCTGAGGGAAAACTTGACGATGTTTGTGAGGATTGGTCCTAATCCTGCACGTTGCAGCCACTACGCCTCCGGAACCCTGAATTTTCAGCCGCCAAATTCCAATTAGATTCCCCAAACATTGAAAGCGCGCATTCCTGCGACCTCTACCTGGAAACAAATGTGTAGAAGCAGCGAACGCCAATCAAACATCGCTTCCTATGTAACGCGATGTGTTCTAGCTTACAGCAGTTCCTGGATTAAGAGACTACAAATCGAGCAACTGTACTTGTGCTACGATACCACATCTTGCGTCATGGAAAGCACAAAACCCCTTGCAAGACGTCTGTAGAAGCAACGAAGACAGAGCCAACATAAATTCCTTTGTAAAGCGATGTGCTGTAATTTGCAGCATCTTTTCCAAAAGGCTACGGATTCAAAACTGTCAGATGACCTCTCTTGTGACATAGAAAGCCAAGAAAACCCTGTAAAGACCGATGCGATCGCCACTTCCCAAAGCGTGCCAACCCAGACGCAGCAAATACCGACGCCGCCGACGTTTTCGGCAGTTGAAGCCTACGAAATGCTGTAGAGGTCCAATGGAATCGGTATGTGCGTGGCGCGAGTTTACGTCATGTCGGAGCGTTGTCGTTGTTGTTGTTGTTGTTGTTGTCACAATGAGCGGGACCAGTGCTGACGGGTAAGCCTCCCCACACACGTTTTCTTGGTCATGGCCTTAGTTGTTGTTGTTCTGCTTTCAGTGAGGAGGTGGGGTCCTACCGTAAGTATTGCTAGGGGACGCGGTCTGTCGTGGACCTAGCTGCAGAGAGCGCGGTGACGAGGCCGGGATGCAGACATAAGGTCCGGGGAGAGCGGGTCGCCGCTACCAGCCTAACCGAACAGGGGGAAACAACCCATCGCTCTGCAAACCCCAATGCTCCTTCCACCAACAACGGGGGAAGGGGGCGCCTCGGCGCGGGCTCCAGTGGAGCTCTACCCATGAGAAGCGAAGAGAGAGAGAGAGAGAGAGACAGAGAGAGCCATTTTGGCTCAAGTCGCTCGCCTGCCTGCTCCTCGGAGCGGGTCGCTTTTCGGCCGGCCCCTCGAGACCACAGAGGGTTATCTCTGTGGGCTTGGGGGGTGGACGTGCCGAGGGCGGGGGGTGGCTTGAGGCCTTTCGCCGTAACATGTCGGGCTCTCAAGTGCCCAAGGGGTCGCGAAGACCTCTCCTGAAACCGGCCCTCTCCGGAGGTGGCCCGGTAGTAGGGAGGGGCAACATGCCACTTGATGGAGGAACTCAGAGTGAAGACGCGACACCAGGGGGAGAACCACATCGTTCAAAAGGGCAACAGCGAGATCAAGCTGCTCGACCACCTCTCCCTCGCAGCCGACCTCAACCAGACGCTAAAGAGGGACTAGACTGGACGGGGGACACGAAGCCCGGCATGAACGTGATAGTGGCAGGGACACCGAGAAGGCAAAGGACACCCGTGGCCGACGACGACCCAGACGCAGCTGCAGCACCGCGGAGGCACAGGACAGCAAGTGCCAACGACGACCCAGGACCAAAGAAAGGACGACGACACAGCTGCAGCACCTCGAAGGCACAGGTGAGAGAAGTGAGCGCCGACTACAAAGGCGAGGCACCAGTGGCTACAAGTTTTGGGACATATGTCTGATGTACACCCATGCAACTCGCCGGGGACACCCGGATCCGTGAACAACACCTCTGCCACCGGTGGAAAAAGTGAACGCGACACTCTGAAGCCACCTAACTTACCTTTTAATTTGTGTTGAGGGGCACCCGCTCATTTCCATGAACCCTAGAATGGTGTGCCAACAGCTTGCATAAGACTTGCATGGCCGTTAATTCAAGCACGTTTTTCCCCTCGTACACACAGCCTTTTACATACCAGATTCTTAACAGTGCCGGTGCGAGCAAACAAACACCCCATACGGGGAACACAGTTTCGGAGCACCCTTTGCTATGTAAGTCAGTCTTGTATAGACCGAGCCCATCCTTTCCAAATGATGGATGGGGTAGCGCACTCGCGCGGGACGGGGGGACTGCTCCCGTCTCAAACCCCGAGCAAAGCAAAGCAAAGAGACAGAGAGAAGGAAAAAAGAGAGAGAAAGAGAGGGAGAAGGATAGAAAAATAGAGAGAGAGAGAGAGGAGGCGACGCTTACGCCCTGTCCTTCGGGTGGAAGAAGAGAAAGACGGAAACAGATAGACAATCAGGCAGGGAGGCAGGCAGGCGAACAGTGACAGACAGGCAGGCAGGCAGGCAGGCAGACAGACAATCTAAAAGACCATGCGGTCTAACGTATTCAATGCTTAATAACACGGTTAATATGATACAGCATACCCGGATATGCCCATACTGCATGGTATGCATGCATGGAGGCATGCATACATCAGTGTATGTTGCATGCATGTCAAATGTTTGTAATGATGTGTGACGAGCGTGGCGGGCCAACGTTCGTTGAACCCGAGGATTGCTTCCTTGGGATATTTCGCGGAGAACGCCGCCAGAAGCCACTACGAATGTCCCTACTATATGTTCCTCAGCTGCCTCCATCTTGTCTGCAGTGAGTAAATGTGCAGAAGTATGACTTGCACGATGGATGCCCAGACTGACTATGCTTTCGAAACCAATCGCTGTCATTAAGCAAGCAAGAAAGTCATTCACACACTATTCGGCCAGACCCCGTCAAGAAGGAAGCACATGTCAAGATGCTAAGGGGCCAGAACCTGTACCAGTGTGGCCAAGATCAATCCAGACTGGCGTCTGCAGTGCAGTTGTTCGCCTCTTCCACAGCAGCCGCCGCCCCTTGATCAGAGGGAGAGCAACTGTGTCTCGTTTGGGTGGGAAGTCAAGTGCCTCTCACGTGCTTTTCATGACCTTGCTGAGATGTGCCGAGGTTATCAATTGCGGAGCACTGGGTGGAACGGCAACTCCTGCCATGCGTTTGGCAGCTTGGCAGCGAAAGCACTAACCGAAAGGCCAAGCACGTGGACACGGGTAGTGAGGTCGTAGGACTTACGTCATGCCATTTCGGGCAGTCTGCAGGGGGCATGGATGATCCGTGCTCGGACAGCCTTAGCACGCGGCTGGAAGTGTTGGGCCGGATCATGTCCTCCAGCCTTGAGGATGCAGGACTTGAATGGTTTCAGGCTTCAGGGTGCGGGAGTTCCGATGTAATGATGCCACGTCGCCTTCACTTGCTGGGGGTCTAGCTATCCCAATCCAGCTCCCCAATGCCCAGGTTGGCATGGTAAATCCACCACGCCGGTTCTTTACGGTGTGAGGAGTGCGTGTACCAGGTTGGGCAAGAGCAAAGTTTGTCAGACGGGTTGGAAGCGCATCCGACCGCGGTGGGGACGAAGTCTGCGCCAGATGCAAAGCATGACGGCAGCAAAGTTGCCGGAGTTGGCAGCAGGTTCCCGCAAGTCGATCTTGAGCTGTGAGGCTGAGGTCGTGTTGACAGAACGTTCCCATTGCAGTGCTGTGTTACATCAGCACACTCTTCCTCCTGAAGCCTCGAACGAAGCTCGATCATTCCATGTGTGCAGGCTTTGCCAAAGTGTGAGCTTTGCACACGGACCAGTTGTACTGGAATCCCTCAAAGTTGGCGCCTGGCCAAGGCAAAGTTTCTCTGCCTCCGTGTACCAAGCAGCAGAAGGCAAGTCTGCTAGTACCATCCGTGTCAGATCCATAAAGAGAATTGATCAATGTATGTATCGATCCCTTTGCACACCTATAGACCACATATAAACACATCTACGCACCAACTGTCTGCCTACTGTACCAACATGACTCCACTCTGCTCCGCCCCTCTCCAGTGACTCGTGCTGGAGCGTGCACTTGCACCCAGTCACATTCACTCACTCTTGCGCTCGCACACATGTTTGATCATGTCTGGGGAACGCTGCTAGCAGGTATGAATGTATATATACATATAATATGTATACTTATATATGTTATATATATATGTATAGATTTCTATACATATGTCTTCATAGATATCTATCTTGCGACGAAGGGAAGCAGAGCATGGTTGAGAGCAAGGACTCTTGCGTTGCGGCCCTTGACAATGATTCGGGCACTGCAGCTCATGAGCCTTGCTGTGCTGAGCACGAAGATGCGCAGTTTTCAAGAGCCTGCTTGGGATCACTGCTTGGTCCCATGTCCGCAGTAAAATCCTGCGGGTTTGATGGAAAGCCTCAGATCCTTCCTCTGCCTTTCTCTCAGCCGAGTCCACCCTATCATTGCAGGGCTGCGCAACGACAGAGTTCAGATGTGTCGTCGGATGTTCCTGGGAGTACGTGCAACGTTCTGAGCCCTCATCCGGTGTCCGAAGTAGACCCAAATCCTGGAAGCTTCAGCAATTCGCCGGCAACAGTTATGAATCCTACCAGTACTGTAGGACCCCCGGACGAGACTTGTGCAGAGAGGCCCTTTTTCAGATCTGATCCACTTTCCGGCTTCTGCTTCGAGAGTTTCTGTAGCCGGACATTATGGAGGGTCCCTCTCTGGGGAACTTATTCTAACAAAGAAGAAGAGGCATGAAATATTGGAGGATGATGATGCCTGAGCCAAATCCAGAGTAAAGTTATGTCACTTCGCATGAGGGAGCAGGGAGCCTCTGACAGTTTTTGGGTCGGAGCGCCGATCCAGAGGTGTGTTGGTTTCGATTCCGTGTCAAGCGCGGCAAGGGCACACGGACTCTGAGGAACTTGGCGACCCAGCTCGCCGAGTTCAGACTAGGACTAGACATCTGCTACAGATGCGATGACGTCGCCAACTAGCAGGATGGGAAAGGCATGGGCAGTTTCAGCCACTCGTTGAAGATGAGCCCTTGGGCTTTCTAGCCTGAGTTATACACACCAAGGCCATGCTTGCAAAGACAGAGATCTTGGGATGCATCACAACTTAGTAGCGGCATGATGCAACGGCCAGCATGTGAACCCGACTCAGCAGAATCTCAGCAGGATGACTGATGACAAACAGTTGAGCCAGGTTGGGAAGCAGGTGGACCTAAGCCCCGAACCTTGCAAGTTCAGCCCTTAGGAAGCCCCGCAAGCAAGAAACCTCCAGGGATTGACGTTCCGAGACCACTGAAGTCCCTAACCTGCAGCCCCCATGTCTCCTCCCATGTGGGGGGTGATCAAAATCACAGCCCCCCTTTCATACAGACCCTAAAAGGGCCCATAATTTTGGTCTCCTCCCATGTGAAAGGCGCCTTCTGTGCCCTCAAGAGCCCCGTCGGCCCCAAGTGTGTCAGGATCTCAGTGTGATGAGTTTTCCGTAGTATAGGGGTCTTTGCTATCATGCTGGATGCCCGTGTTGTCACTGTTTTATAATATTGTTATAGCACCCTATACCCCAAAACCCTATTCTAATGGTTTGAAAGTTGCCTGTGTGGGCGTTCTTGGAGTCTTGGTGTTTTTGCTTAGGGAGAGCGCTTCGGAATGATCTTGGGGCTGTGCCTTGCGGGTTTCAGAGGTGCGACAGCTAATTATCCTCAACTGGGTTTTTGCCAGATCCCACTAGTAAGCACTTGTTTAGGGAACCAGCGAGATCATGGTATCGAACTCGCGGTGGCAGTAGAAGAGGCCTTCATTCTCAGGTGTATTCGCTTGACACTCTAAACTGTTGCCACTTACACAAATGATCCCAACTTTTCAGCCATCTACATCCAGTCAAGCCCCCAGTCCCTTCACGGCCCCTCGGCAAAGAAGTGCGCCTGGAGATGCGACGTTGCACAAGTGCTGGCTCTGCTCTCTGGCACACTAAGGTATGTCAAGCAAGCAATTTCTGTGCGCGAAGTCCGAACGGCCTCGGACATCCCTGCCTGATGCTCAGAGGTCTACAGAAGGTGTAGAGCTGTGCCTGTCGCTCGTCAATTGCGACCCCTGTGTGATGGAAGCGAAGTTCGCCAACCCCCAAAACTCATGTGTGTCGCACCGTACGTGCCGAAGTGCTTTGACCAGGTCCACCAAACACCGCGCCCGTGCGCCAGCTCAGCCGTTGTCAAAGCTCTGGCAAGGTTTTGGGATACTGGGGCATCAGAAGATTGAGCTGTGATACGGTGCCCACATGCGAGAGTCAAGATGTGCAGTTTGATGTGTCTGAGCTGCTTTGAGCCCGAGTCCTGTCGGCAAAGTCAAGTATCTCAAGCGGACAGGAAACCAATAGAATTCATGTCAAGCTTTCTGTGGAATCTGATCCTGGTTGTCGAGTGGTGCCGTTGAAACCGAGTTGTCACTTTGCCAGCCATCCTCCTGTCCAGACTCGATGAAGAGCAGCGAGTGTCCTTTCTGCTTTGAGGTGCCTCGTGGTGACTTCGACGGAGGCCGGCTGAAGGGTTCAAGTTCTACTATAGGGCCTTAAGCATTAAAACAGGGTTTTGGGGGCCCCTTATACTTTTATTCTTATAAGGAACTCCCAAAAGAGTATCGGTAATTTTGAGTCCTTTGGAGCCTCGCAGCTTTGCAAACGCGAGTCCGCCAGGCCCGTCAGAGTCGCAGCCCCGTGCGGGTGGTGCGTGCCGGGTCGGACACTGCCCAGACCAGGCAGACGAGGCAGGTGGGTTCAGGGTTTAGGGTTTGGGGGTTTAGGGTTTAGGGGTTTAGGGGTTTAGGGGTTTAGGGTTTAGGAGTTTAGGAGTTTAGGGTTTAGGGGTTTAGGGTTTAGGGTTTAGGGGTTTAGGGTTTAGGGGTTTAGGGTTTAGGGTTTAGGGTGGTTTTCAATATTAGGGTCCCTTTTCCTATTATAATACGGCACCTTGTATTTAGGGTACCCCGAAAGGGACCATCATTTTGACAACCACCCAGGTGCTCTGATACTTGGCATCGGGAACCCAACGAATACTATTTTGGGGGATTACTAGTATGATTATAGTATAATGGGCCCCTAAAAGGGGATTGCTATTATGATTATGGTAAAATGGGCCCCGAAAACCTCAAAGCACTGGTCCCAAAGCATTGAAGCACAAAGTGACAAAGGTGGTTGTAGCTGGACATGAAGAAGATACCTCAAAGCCCAATGCAACGCTCCTACGACCTCCTTTGTATGCAGCAGGCCCCCAATCCAGACGTGGCCACAGGCTGCAGCAGCCTGATCTCGCATGCGGGGACATGGGCGTAAGAGGCTTCGAGGCGATGGGATCTGCCAGCAAAAAGACTCCAGAAATCACAGCTGTGCTCTTCTTGTGAAAGGTAAGGGAAGCCAGGCGGAGTGTCTCTAATAAACCTCTTGACAGCGTGGTGAAGGGACGACGATGTCATGCGACTGCTGGCCCCCACAAGGCCATTCAACGGTTGGGTACGACCACATGGGCGAGCACAGACGAAAGGCCACGTTGCTAATGCTGATGATGTATAGAAGCCTGAACCAATCGTTGAATTTTCCTTAGGCCTCCTTAATGCAAATTACGTAACACTTCCCAAGAATATTCTAATCTTTAAGGCCCTACATTAGCTGGCTGACGACCCCTTCGAACCTGTCGGTCATTTTGCAAACACCCTGTCTGGAACGTACCTGTCGCTTCTTTGGTCCAGTGCTGTGCCACATCACCGTCAGTGTCGGTGAACGCTGCTTCAATCAGACAAGTGAGTTGCCAGCTGGCATTTGGCCACGGAGTCGCTAGTTGTACAAGCTAGAAGACGTGCTTCGCTTGGGGAGGCACGACATCGCCTCTTCCGGCCATTGCCAGGCGGGTTGAAACGATCTGTTGGGGCTTGTTGCAGGAGGCATCGTGTAGAGCTCATCAATCTCCGCAAGTCATGAGCTGCGATCTATAATCTACTGATCTCTGTCTCGCCTACCCCAGCTTCCGTCTTGTGCTTGTTGAGCTTCCTTCCGCCCCGCGGGTGCAAGTTTTTTGCAATGCAGACATTGAGTCCCACTGAAGGTGGAGCTTGCCGTGCCGGCAGGCTCGTTCGGTGTAGGAGCAAGGATGGCGTGCAGACTCAAGGTGTCAACAGCCATTGCAGCCATGGTCCATAATTCGGAAGTATTTGTAGAAGGACGATGTTGTACGTTCATGCACTTGCAGATTCTCGGCAAAAATCCAGGCGGCACTCCTCCGTCGGGTCCTTCGATTCCAGGCGTCACCAGGCGGACTCGGGCCCTCGAGGCCTGGAAGGGCCCCGGGCTCCCAGAGATGCCCCGCTTCCCTGGAGCCTCCTCCGAGCTCAGAAATCTTTGCTTCCAGGCCACGCCAAGAACGACTACACCGAGTCCTTCCCGAGTGCGCTTTGCGGTCACGAGGCCTGAGAGTCTCTCTCTGTCTCTCTGTCTCTGGGTCGCTGCCGGTTTAGACTTCAATGCGCGATGTTGGGCAACTTCATGCTTGCAGGCATCATCAATAGGCTTGCGCACTCTGCCGCACGGCTGTATGCAACAGCCGGCTTATGCAGTCAAGTCTGTCTATTCAGGCGAGAAGCAGAGAACAAAGCCTCAAAGCCTAGGGTCCTAACCCGAAAGTCTCCAACTCCAACGGCCCACTATGCAGATTATACTCTCGTCGCTATTGTCAGCATCGTTATTGTTAGACTATTTCTATTGCTACTACCATTTACTATCATTCTGCAATACTCTAGTACTTAGTTATCTTCAGCCTCTCATCACTAAATCTACGATCTCCGCCGACGCGCGGAGACGGAGAGGCCGGCAGAAGCTGAGAAGGGCCCTCGGAGTGACCGGCTCGGAGGTCCCCTGAGCCCCTGTTTGGGAAGTTGGGGAACTCTTGGGACTGCAGCTTTTGGTATGTTATATTATAGTACGGTCTAACATGGTCTGATGTGGTGTACTATGGGGTAGGCTTAGGGATTATGGGTTCAGGGTTGATGATGGGGTGTTGGATTGCAGTGTGCAGGGGCGCCTTTCCAGAAGCACGTGGGTCTGCAGCGAGAATTGGAGATGTGCGATTGATAGCTGCTGGAGGAAGTGGCAACCGTATCAGAAGTGCCTGGTTTTGTCCTACACAGTGTACCCGTTTGAGGGCGCACACTCGATATTCCGCGCATCTGCAGATCCAGACGCCCCTCTCATGCCGCCAGAGACGATGCCTTCTGCACAGGCCAGCCATTCCATTTGCTCCCCGTTTCAAGTCTTGAAACCGGCATGCCATTGATCGTTGATCGGGATTCGGGACCACAACGCACGATGATGCCCGGGGAGGGTGTGAGCATCCCAGTCAACTTGGTGAAGTGGGTGAGGTGTCCATAACTGAAGCAGGCTGTGCCCATCTCCGACAGCCTTCAGGGCCACGCAGCTAGCTTTGAGGCATTCCTGGGTGCAGCTTCCGTGCAGGTTGCCGCAAGTTTGGAACTTGTTGCTTTCTTGAGACTACGACGCCCAGCGAAGTGCTTTGTGGTTTTCGGCAGGCCGCGGAGCAACCACTTGCCACGTCCAGACAGCTGACTGGCCGAGAAGTCGGGGGTCGGGTAGGTTTCGAGTCGTTGTTGCCGCTGCCGGCATGAAGGGGCTAAGCGACTACCCACATACATGGAACGCAAGTGGCGCAGGCTTATCGCTTCCTGGATCTGGAGTTCACCAGGTTTCATGGATCTTCAACGAATGGGGCATTGTTGCGAACCCTCCCTAGCAGCTATGCATGGCTTAAACATGCGGCAATCGTTGCCATTATACGACAAGTCACAGGGAGTGTGAGTCGTTTGACTCGAAGCGCAGCAATACATGTTACACGGCAATACTGGTGGTGATCGATGGGATGTGCAGTTGGAAATCGCATGGGTGCTGAGAACAAAGGTCGGATGCTGGCAGTGACGAGCTGAAACAGTCAGGACCAGATGCCCCGAGTTTGAGCGAAGGATAACTGCTCCTGGTGTGAGCATGGTTCAGCGGAGTTGTTTTCTCACCTCTCGGACAGTCGTTTATCTTGCGATGCGATTGTCTGGTTGCCTTTGTGTGCCTCAGCGGTTTGCCTTGCAGCCAAGCCTGCATCTTGGTAGCTGACAAGACCCATTCAGGACCCGAGCAGGGTGAGGTCCTCTCGAAGCAAAGCATGGATGCGCGGAGCTCGTCGTGGTCAGCCGGCTAAACCGGGTGAAGCCGGCACAGAGAGCTTGTCCAGCGCCTTCCCACGGATCCAGATCATGGATGCTGTGTCAGATTTGGCCACATCTCCTACGAAATAGAGTCATAGAGCCCCTGACGTGGACGATCCCGGTCTTCCCCTCCATTGCTCCTGCATTGCTTCAGGTCCTCATGACGTTCATGCAGGAGCAGATGAAGCACTTTGAAGACAGACTCAAGATGGAACTGGTGCCTGGGCCTGCCTTTGAAGACTATCGCGCTGCAGCGCTTGCGACAATGCCTATAATGGGCTATATTATGGGCATATAATGGCTATATTATGGGTATATACCTAGGGGTCCTTATCAGGGGTCCACAGGACAACACTCGTAGCCTTTGCGAAATACAAAGCCCCCGGAAGCCCCGTGCCCATTCCCAGTCTTTAGTCCGAGCCGAGCTGGGAGTTTCCGAAAAAAAGGGGACCCGAGTACCTTAAAGAGTAGGATCCTTTTTATGAGGACCCAAAATATGGTATCCCGAATTCTCGGAAACTCCCATATCCCACACCCCTAAGCCCCTAAACCCCTAAATCCCTACACCCAGAAGCCCCTAAACCCCTAAGCCCCCTATCCCGAAATCCCTACACCACGAAGCCCCTAACCCCCGAAACCCCTAAACCTCTAAGCCCCCAAACCCCTAAACCCCTAAACCCCTAACCAGCCTCCCAAAACCGTCTCACTCGCCCAGCTCGGCCGCCTGCGGGGCTCCGCTGTACAGCGCTCGGCACAGGCGGCTGCCAGTCTCGAGGTCGGCGTGGTATGGTGTAGTAGTGTAGCATAGTATAGAATATGGTATAGTATAATATGGTATTGTAGAACATGGTATAGCATAATATGGTATAGTACAGTATGGTATAGTACGGTATAGTATAGGATAGTGTAGTAGAGTATGATGCCTACTGCTGCTGCTACTGCTGCCGCGGTTAGCATTCGCAGTGATAAGCATAATAGCTGGAGTCATAGCAATACTGTGATCTGCAAGTGCAATCAGAGTATCAGGGAGTAGCGCAGAGATGTTCGAAGACCAGAAAGAAGAGTAGTAACTAGCACTATTCATGAGGATAAGCGGTAGTAAACATTGCATGAATGGACCAGTACGCACTAGGCATGATGACCGTCACTGTTGTTCACACTTTGCCGTGATGACCATGATGGTGGTGGTGGAAGCTGGCATCATTGGTATCATCGTCTTCTTCATGCAAACAAACACAGACCAGCAGCCAGAACTACCGGACTGCCAGTGTTTTTGTTTTCAACGGCTTGTGCAGCAAAGCTTGTGAAGCTGAATCTCGCACACAGACTCACAACAGAAGTTCCAGAGGGGGGGCATGAAGTAACTGCTTCTTGTGCGAGCTTGCCAGCGGGTTGCCGAAAGCAGGAGAAGCTGCTGCTGCAAATCCAGCGCGTCCAACAAGAAGGCCGTTCAACCCTGTTGTTCTGGTGGACTTGCGTGCAGATGCCGCAAGCAGTTGCTTCTCCCCTCGAAGATTGAAGATCTCTTGGCTCTGTTTCGGAAACTGGGGAAATCATGATAATATGGATTTATCGGCCTCAGAACCCTGAGCCGAGGCGAGCGACTTCGGGAGCCTCGCGAGACACCCCGAGAGACACCACGGCGAGAAGAGTCTTCAGAGGCCCGAAGCTGCCAACTCCCTGTGGTTTCAGACGGGGCAGCAAACAACCTTTCCGAAAATTTGGGGTACCTTCTTTTGGGGTCCGTATGATAAGGATCCTACTACATTAGGGTCCCCTATTTTCAGAAACTCCCAGACGGGGTCTAGGGCTTTCAAAACTCCTGTTCCATGAGGCGGTAAGCGCGCAGGCTCTGTCCGTGGAAGCCCTTGTCCGGGTCATCTCCCTTAGCAAACTCGGCAGGAGCCCAGCAGCGACGGTCGAAGAGGCCGATACCTGAAAGCTGGCAAGTGCGCAGAGCCAAGTAGGGCAGTTTCGAGCAGAGACTCTTTGACCGGAGCAGCACCTGCTGAAGAAGTGCGGACACTACTTCATGACAATGGCTCTGTGTCAGACTACAGGAAAATTCATGAGAGAGACCGGACAAGTAGAATTCCGATTGCTTCCCCCACCCGACGAGCCAGATGACAATCACGAGTCCGAGAGGGAAACCGTCAAGGAGCTCCTGATCAATTTCAGGACTTCGACAGGGCCATTGAACAGCTATTGCAGCTATTGTTGTCGCAGCAATGCTGAATGCCCTTCTCATTCTGCCATCGATGTCTCCCTACATTAACGCCCAAAGTGCAGGAAACTGGCTGCAGAGGTGCAGATGCAGATAACTCGGCTAGACAGGCAGGACTGTCTGGGTGGTGCAGGGTCGGAAGGAGAAAGGATGTTGGGAACGTTCGCAGGGTTTGAATATGTTTCCTGCGAAGAAACCACAGTAGCGCAACTCAGTACCGTGCCACGAAGGCTTGACATGGACATTTGCGGCCGGCTGGGCGGCCTGGAAGAGGGCATCAGGCCCGCATTGAATGAGATCACCACCTCTGCACCCAAAAATCAAAAGCCTGATAGTGTCAGTCCTGATCCCGACATGAAGGATGCTGCAACTCGTGGAGGACTAGGTTCAAGTAAAGGTCTTGCAGCTGTAACACACTACGTCATTTTCGGAATCAGACACTTTCTCAAACAAGCTTCGCACTTCACAGTTCCCTAACACTTGTTGTGGATGTGCATATATTTCATGTGTATATATGTGTATAGGTTTGCACATATATGTGTTTGCATATAAATATAAATGTGTGTACACACTGTGCCAGTCTGCTAGGCTGTGCTACTCCCTTAAATCCTACTTTCACTTCTAGGACTATCCTCCCGCGTACCTCAGAGTGGGATGGTTTGGATGAAATGCTTAGCGGCAATGCCCGCGCTGGCTGCAGCGAGCTGCGGGCAGCTGATAGACAATGTGTCCACTTCTGAAATCCTACAGCAAAGACTTAGCGACCTGCAAGGTGGATATGCTTTCTTTGACATCGATGAAACGATACTCATGCCCAGGACGCCGTTTATCTACGGGATGCCCAAAACGGATGCCTTCCTCAAGAGCCTGGGCCATTGCGAAAGAGAGGCCCTCGTCTGGATTGGCCCACAGATGGAGGAAGCTTACTATGCTGCGCCGCTCCAGCTGGTGGTCCAGGGGCTACCCTCTGTTGTGCGTTCCCTCCGTCAGCACGGGTGGCATGTATATGCTGCAACTTCGCGATCAACGGGTGACGTGCCCTGGGATTGGCACAATGATGTGGTGATCGAGTTCCTGCAAGCAGCTGGCGTGGAATTTTCACCCCTGGAAGACAAGTTTGCCCATCTCGGCAATGCAACAAGCATCGGAGGCATCTTTTTTGTTGGCGGAGAGCACAAGGATAAGGGAGACCTGATCTCTCAAATCGTACCCCATGGTGTTTCTGCTGTGCTCATCGATAACACACGGCGGAAGTTGGAGCGAGCACTGGCCAGCACAGCGACTGATGTATGTTTACAAGGTCTACATTTTGTGGCTGCTCACCATCATGAGCAAGACGATGTCGCCCGGAGCACATGGTTGTGCAACGAACTCTCTCGCGCCAACGTGCACTGTGCCAGTTGCGGCTCTCCTGGAAATGACGCCGGATCTCACCGGTGAGCAGATCCCGTGAGGTGCTTGATTTTGCAACCGTGCAAAGTTCGTAGGAGAGCATGGTCCCCCCGAAGCTGTTACAGGCTTTGGGCCCCCATTCTGTGTGTACAGAGTGTGCAGATTGAGTTTTGGGGCATTCGCTCTCTGGGCTTTTCTGCTTGTGGCGGGCATCAGTTGCATGAAATTAAGCTGCGAATTAACTCTGATAGCACAAAATCGCCAATAACATAGGATGCTGGTCTGCTGCCAGGCGGTTGGATGCCGAGAACGCGAAGCTCACAGAGCATTTCACTGAGTCGGCACGAAGGCATGTCGGAAACCCGTGGCTTGCTTAACACTAATCGCAGCAGTAAAATTGGCCGCAGCAACAGGAATTTTGCACGGGCCTCACACAAGCACGCTTCGGCTTGCGATGTCCTGAAGTACTTACTTAGACATGACCTTTGTGTTTCGACTCATTGCGCGCTATTCCGACCGCTACTGCTGTGATTGCCGTTACGACTCTTGATTGTACTGCCGAAATCAGTGCCAGACAAATTCTCCAAGGACGCTAGAGTGACTTTGACATCCTAAACCTGGGGTCCTTTGCACAAGAAGCGCAATCTGAATTGTCAAAGGCTGGCGGCCCCTGTCGGTCTGGCCGATGACCTTCACCAAGCGGTGAGGTGAGGGCTTAGGGTTAGGGTTTTAGGGTTTAGGGCTTAGGGTATAGGGTTTAGGCTGGGCATTGGGCATGGATGGGTTGAAGAATCTAAGATTTCGGGATTGTCGGGGTCATGGTCTTATTTACAGTTAAATCTAGTGTGACTACACCGAGAGGTTCAGGAGGGCCGAATGTACACTAATTACACATGATAGGATGCATGTTGTAAGGATTCCCCCCCTCCCCAAATACATCGGACCCTTCCTGTAAGGACCCCCAAAACAGGACCCCAAACCCGACAAAAGTGACCCCGAATTGTCTGAAACTTCGTGGACAGGTCACTCGAGGAGGCGCTGGAGTCCTGGCAAAGCCACACACAGCACCTCGAGGACTGGGGTTTGGGGCGATGCTGTGGTACCCCTTCTGGTATCCCTTGTGGTGTTCCTTGTGGTGTTCCTTGTGGTACCCCTCACGGTATCCTTCTAGATTCTAGAGTATCTCCTTTATGGTACCCCAGGGTTCGGTATGCGTCCGTGTTCTGCTGGAGTTCGGGGCTGCCTTTTCACTGCATAGGTGCACCCTATGCGTCAGCGTTGTCTACTGGCCTCTCAAGATGTTTCAACGACAGAGTTGTTGGCAAACAGGCAAATTACATAGCTTAAAAACGGTTCCTGAAGTACGTACATGGATTTTTGGAGCGTGTGAGACACACAGACAGAGACACTAACTCATTGCCCAAACTCCGAACCTCGCCCCATCATTGCAAGGATGACTTGCGCAGCCGAAGCTTGGCCACAAGTTTGGTAACAAGGCAATGCTTTGCGAGTAGCATCGTCAGATAGACTACATGCTTTTGGAATGATGCCGGATGAACTGATCATGTAGGGCTTCCACTGCTACACTTGATCAACACATGCTACCACAAAACGTGCGTCCACGCCATGCAGTCTTGCAGTAGGGGGTAGTTAGCAGTGTCCGTGTGGTCTGCAATTGACTTCCCTAAACCCTAAACCGTGGCTAGTTGGCCACCGCTGAGCTGCTTCTGAAGACCATTTGTGAGGAGCGTCAAAACCTAGGTGTAGCAGTTTCAACCGTAGCTTTGAGCTAGTACGGGTAGGGGCTGAAACAGCAGATGAGAGCAGCACAAGCTTTGATATTTGTATACGAGTCCTTATTCCGTGCAGACTTCAGTACGGGCAAGAATCTCGAGCAAAGGAATGGAAGAGCTCTCACAATCAGTGGCGTGCCGGACTTGGTGATTCCAGTACGGACGAAGCTTAGACTGTCAACGTGCATTCTGTGCCTTCCCTGCACTTGTTAGCCTTCGGAAACAGAGTTGTCGATCGTCTTCAAGAGTCGTCTTCGCCTCTTCCCAAAGGCGCTTGGAGCCCAGCAAGGGCCAAAGTCACGTCCAGGCCGTGCCCTCAAGCTTGATGCAGAAACTCAAGCCTGCAATTATCTCACGCTCAGTCGCGGTGAAACCTGCATCAGCTACAGTAGCATCCATCGTGCTTGCTTAAGGCATCGCCCAAGGGCCAAAGCAGCCCTTCAAGAGCAAGTCCGGCAAAGCGCACAATCCCCAGCGAGAGCCCCGGCACAAAGCCCTCCACTGCCTTGACTTCACTGAAGGAGCACTTAGTAGCTGAGTGGATACACTTTACACTTTATTGGGATAATATTACCCACTATTGAACTGAAAGTGTACACTTTTTGGGGCTTATGAACTCAGCAACTAAGAGCAAGTTTGCAGATACCCTGCCAGGCCCGACCTCGACGGCCTTCTTGTCGCCTGCTGAGCTTCCCACTTGGAGCGGAGTTGACCCGTCTCGTTGCTGTTTCTGCCACAATCGGTCGAGTGCGACACTTCAGCATCATGGAGCACCTACATTGCCCGGTGATGCTTGAACCCGTAGCTGGGTCATGACTTTGCGTGACTTCGCCAGCCATGCCAGCCCTACCCACGGGACAGTGCCACCTTGCTGTTTGGCACCTCCCGCACACCGTTGGCCGGGTGATGGGGCGCATGCGGCGGAGGCTTGGAGGCGCTTGTCACGGTTGTGTTGAGCACTCGCCGCCTTGCCTTTGGCACCTTTGGCCAACGCACCCTCTGAGCGGCTGAGACTCAGTCCTGCGGGTGTACGACAGCAAGGCAATGAGCTAACGTGCTTGCTGGGGTGTCCAGACCAGACCTCTGCGCCGCATGCACGAAGGGGAGGCCATGTATTTTCCTGAACCGTGGCGGTTGTCGGAGGCTTGCGGGGTCAGTATTAAGAGCTATCATAAACTGAAGTGATCTCGAAACAACAGTCACAATATGGCCCCGAGACCAGCAAGTTGTCAATACCTTCAGCAGTCGCGACCTACTGGGATTTGGGCTCCGGCACGTCACCTGCGAATTTAAGTGCTAGTAACGAGAACTGCGCCAAGCAGCATGCAACGGCTCCGCCGGACATGGCCAAGCGCGGCTGAGAACAGCAGCTTTTTTTTCACGGATTGGCCTCATGGACTAAGGAATCTGGTCTCCATCCTCCCAGCTTATTCACCCTCGAGCCAAGACAAGGACGCTTTGGCCGGCAATTGCCCGGGCCTGAGAAACTGGGTGAGAGTGGGAACAGTCCAACTCTAAAAGCGATCCCTATGCTTTCAAGCATCGCATGCACGCAAGGGCATGCCAGGTAGCCTGCTCGTATATATTTAAACCCGCAGGCATCGCACCCAAACCAGAGCACCTTCACGTTCTGGGTGTGAGCCCGTGATTTCCAGTTCTGAAGCCCCCTTTTCTCTCCTCCAAAGCGGCCTTCTGCCACTCCTGAGGCCGTGGCGACTCCCCGACAAGCGACGAGGCAGTGCCAAGCTTGGCGGTGCCTCTGCTCGCCGGGGCCGAGGTCGGCTGTGGTGGGGGCTTTGGGGCCCGAGATCCGGGGATCCGGGCTTTTGTGATGTTGTGGCGGCATAGCTAAAAAAGACGAGAGGGGAAAGCCGAGGCAGGCAGGGCAGGGTGAACTCATGAGGAGACAACAGCATGCCGTTGCAAAACGGAGCCAAGCAGCCCCAAACTGTGTTGATGCCCCGCTCGGCGGTAAGAGCGACATGAAGGACGAAGAGGTGGAGGTACAGAAGATGCTTAAAGAAGCGCTAAGCCTTAAGCCCATGAGAAGCGAAGGCTGACTTGGTCCTCGCAGGCTTGTCCGTCATCCATCATCTGTCACCCATCCTCCTCCTACTCATCATCATCGTCATCATGATCCTTGTCCGGGTCTCATCCTCATCCACATCATCATGGTCCTGATCCCCATTCTCCTCAGTCTCCTCCTCCTCCTCCTCCTCCTCCTCCTCCTCCTCCTCTCTTCTTCATCATCGTCATCATCACCACAACCATCAGCATCAAACCATCCTCCTCCTCAGGATCATCTGCACGATCTTGCTGTGACGGTAATCCGTCGAGTATCCCCTGTCATGACATTGGCAATGGTACTGGTGATGGCGATGACGACAGAAAAGGCGATGGTCCTCTCTGTGCTTGTCTTTGGAATCTCGCATGCTGATAGGAGCCGCTCCCGGCCGAGGACGCATTCCGGGCACTGGAGGGCTTTCCAGGTCACCCGCCTATGTCGGTCCTTCTGAAGTTTGTGTTATATCGGAGCGGTCGGCTGAAAGTCTTAGATTATACTATGACGAGGAAGATTCGATGGTCGCCCTATCCTTTCTGCTCCCTTGGTTGTCCCTGACAGCGCCGGCGACAACTTCAGGGCGGAAGGTGGTACGATAACACGGCTCTTGTGACATGCCCTCTCAGGTGAACCAGTTTGTGGAGTGGATGGACAAGGCCGGAGAGTTTGACAAGCTCAGGGGAGTAGTATCAGGTTTGCCGTAGCTCCCTGCTTGGTCTTTCCGCTGCTTCTTCACAGCTCTGCGCGAGCGGCGCTGCATCAGCCTTTCTCCCCGGGGCCCGGTACACGGAAAACGGTTCAATAACCTTCGCGGGAGTGAAGCGCGGTCAGCTCCCCAACGACCCTCTTGGAGCCGCAGTCGGCCAAGTGCCGGCTTGCGAATCACAGACTTGACGGTCGAGTCTCACTTGCAGCCTGATTCATACCTTCTCTCTCTGTCTGTCTGTCTGTCTGTCTGTCTGCCTGTCACTCTTTCTCTCTCTCTCTCTCTCTCTCTCTCTCTCTCTCTCTCTCTCTCTCTCTCTCTCTCTCTCTCTCTCTCTCTCTCTCTCTCTCTCTCTCTCTCTCATGTTTGTGTATACATATCACATATCATATAAAAATTGCACCCATACATACACACATTTATGTGGAGGTTCAGAACATTATAAAGACATATACAAACATGCATACGTACATACATACTCGCATACACACACTGGAGTGTTATCAATGATAGCCGGCGTCTGCAGAATGTCGATCTGCGGCGGGATGACCTGTTTTGTGGTCGCGTGGGTTTGTCGTCAGGGGCTAGGGTCCGGGCCCCGGGACAATCCAGCGGCATTCTATAGCGCCCAGGAGTTGTCTAATCACGTCGTCGTCAAGGGCTGAGGGTCCTGGCCCAATGTGTGGCAAACCAGCTATGCACAACGGCATCCAGGAACTGCCCGCAGGTACGTTTACACTGCATGTGGCTGGTGTCTTCGTTGATGGGAGACCAGCCCACATGCACTCCCATCCCCTGCGTGATTCGACTTTAAGACTCGCACACGGCAAGCAAGGCTTCCTTGCAACAGTTCCGAAACAACGTTGAGGACTTGCCTCCTCCCTCGTGCTGATCAGGAGTTGCTACACACACAACCGCCCACGGAGGGCGGAAAATGTCATGATGTGTCATTCATGAGATGGATTCTGCGGGCTCGGTGCAGGACGTAAACTGAAAAGTGAAAAGTTTCTCTCTGCTAACCTGGCCTAATACCCATATCGTGTGTCTTCACTTCATCGTAAAAGCAACGCGACATGAAAGATATGCGCCTACTTCCAAGGTTCACCTTGGTCTACAAAATGCAGGATACGTACCACCGAACAACAATCCTCCGCAACAAGTTGGTGCCTTTGGGATTTATTGATGCACATTACGGTGGCTGCATTCAATTTAGACGAAAGTACCCTCGAAGCTCGAAGCCAAGGCACATACCAAGGCACGTACCAAGGCGCATACCAAGGCACAAACCAAGTCGTTGCGAGCAGACTCACAGTCAGGTCTTAGGCTGAATGAGCGTTGAACTCCAACGAGGGTCAATATTTCAAATCACAACATAATGGGGCCAATAAAGAAGCAAACCAACTAGGAGGTTCAGCAACGGATGGCTCAGATCATAAGTAGCGTGCGTTCCTGTTGGAGAAGCCGGGCACAGGCACATACCAAGACACGAATCAAGCGCGAAGGATGTGCAACCGGATAGTCCGCGGTCGCCGCTGCAGTGATGTCATACTCGATCGACAAAGAAATGTTCTGATCTTGATTGGAACTGCTTCGGCTACAAGGCCAAACCGCGGGAAAATCCCTGATTTGTGGCTCAAGGCCCGACCTCCCGTCCCAACATATACGCGAAAGACGGTGGAAGGACGTGGAACGAACAAACAAAAAAAAAGGACACACAAAGCAAGTCCGATCGAACAACAACAACAAACAAAAACGGGAGAGAGAGAGAGAGAGAGAGAGAGAGACAGACACACGAACAGGCAGACAAACACGACACACACACACAGAGTAAGGAACACTCATAGGGACACGTGGGTACTTTGTGACTCGGTTCTTTACCAGAAGGCTCTTCGTTGATGTCTGAGAATATTTTGCACGTTTGTGCGACTTGGGAGGGATGCCCTCATCTATTTCCTCCATTGCCCCGAAGGGATCTAGACGGTGCACCGCTGGGCCCTCCGCCTATTGGACTTTCGTCCGCACACTGGAGTGTTATCAATGATAGCCGGCGTCTGCAGAATGTCGATCTGCGGCGGGATGACCTGTTTTGTGGTCGCGTGGGTTTGTCGTCAGGGGCTAGGGTCCGGGCCCCGGGACAATCCAGCGGCATTCTATAGCGCCCAGGAGTTGTCTAATCACGTCGTCGTCAAGGGCTGAGGGTCCTGGCCCAATGTGTGGCAAACCAGCTATGCACAACGGCATCCAGGAACTGCCCGCAGGTACGTTTACACTGCATGTGGCTGGTGTCTTCGTTGATGGGAGACCAGCCCACATGCACTCCCATCCCCTGCGTGATTCGACTTTAAGACTCGCACACGGCAAGCAAGGCTTCCTTGCAACAGTTCCGAAACAACGTTGAGGACTTGCCTCCTCCCTCGTGCTGATCAGGAGTTGCTACACACACACACACACACATACAGCATACATCATGCAGACGTCTTTGATTACACACATTCAGGTGTATCCCCTGCCCCACCCCACATTTGTGTGTTTGGTTTTTGGTGGGTACATAGATATATGCAGGTTTATCCATGGAACTGCTATGTCATGTGAGCATTCCCTGCCAAAGGAGGGCCGCTGGAGATTGGGCCGGACCCGGAGGTCGTCCGTCAGGCGTTGTCGGACCTTGCAGAGACGTGCGGGGCCCAGATGAAGCCGGCTGGAGGGTTTTAATTTAGGGTTATTGGGGTTTTAGGGTCTAGGGTGTTTGGCTATCAGGGTTTGGAAATGTCGGGCTTGGGGCTGGGTATCGAATGTCGGGTTTCGGGCTACGGGTTTAGCATCTTATGAGACTTGCATGGGTCTCGGAATCTGCACGGTGATGCGTAGTTAACAAAGGCTTGGACGTGAGTGTCTGCGAAGTGGATAAATGTTTGGGTGGTAGCCACGACAGGTACGGTACTGATTCACAGACCACATGGAGCTCACGTGACATGCAAGTGGTGGTGTCTTCGGGATTTGCAGAATCGTGAGGGATCTACAAATCCTGAGTTTCGTGCAATTACGACCAATGCGTTGGCGCTCCGGATCAGTGCAAGGCAGGCTTTTCTGTGAAACACTCACGTCGTGTTTATATATATATATATATATATATATACACATGTATATAGATACACATACCCACATACATACATGTGCACATGCATATGTACATATATTCATAGTTCATAGAGGAGGCGTATTTATTTTGGGATTTTTTTTTTTTTTTTTTTGATTTTTTTTTTTTTGGCTTGTGTGCGCGCTTGGCTTCTTGGCTTCTGGCTTCTTGGATTCCCTGGCTTCTTGGCTTTTGGCTTCTCAGCTTCCCTGCCTTCTTGGCTTCTGGCTTCTTGGCTTCTTGGCTTTTTCACCTCGCAACTTCTTATACTGTCTAGCTTCGAGCATACTGCCTCCTTATGTCGTACGGGCTTTTGTTCTCTTCTTCTTGGATTCCTTGGCGTCTTGGCTTTCGGCTTCTCGGTTTCCTTGGCTTCTTGGCTTCTGGCTTCTTGGCTAATATAATACAATATAATATAACATAATATAATATGATATAATATGATATGATTATATAATATTATATTATACTATATTATATTATATTATATAATATCATATTATATTATATTATATCATATCATGTTATATTATTTTATATGCGAACGGACTGCGATGCCTTGTCAAGTTCTAAGGTGTCACTATAAGAGCTGTGAGCAAGACCGTGTAAAGTGCAGGAGAAGGGGGCACGCTACGCGTCCCTCGACTCTAGGGGGCATGCTACGCATCCCTCGTCTTTACCTTTCTATGTGACCGCCAACGCAACGTTTGGCTCAAGTCAATGCCCATAGCTAAGTGCTATATGTGTCTTCTATCCTGAGCAATCAGAGCTATCCCGTTGCACAGACGAACCGCCGCCGGCAGTGAGTGCAAAAGGAACGGCCGCCGGTTCTGCCTGCATAGGATCGCACGTGTGGGAGTACGAGAGAGAGACAGGGTCCAGTTTGTGGAGAGTGCTAGCCAGCCACACCTACATTCATTACAGCTCTGGTGGGGAGAGCAGCAACCAAGTCGAGATCAATCCCCCACGCAGGTTATCAGCCGTACGCGGCTCTGCCTTTCTACAGCAACGACTACTTGATCTACTACGACCACAATGAACTCAGGATCAAGCCAAGATACGACAATGACTTTCGGTGCCGATGTGGCAGCGCCAGCCGTTGGTGAGTCAACAGCTGATGACACAGTGGTGCAATCCGTTGATAGCTCCACGGAAGATGACAAAGGTCAATCTTCTGCGCTTGCCATTGCAAAGGCAGTTCCCAAGGGGAAAGCAAAGAGTCTACCAAGAGCATCTACGCCTTCACGTCCGACATCCACAGGTTCGAGGACGGGCAAGGCTCCAGAACGACGGGCCGAAGCGTCTGGTTTTCAGGCACCTCGGACTACGTCCAGGGCTAAGGACAAAGGAGTCAAGACCTTGGAGAAGAAGTCAAGACCATCATCTTCGAGAAGCTCTTCAGCACGATCGAGGACTTCGGCTACCCGTGGGCGTGACAAGTCCATGACTTGGAATCGGATGGTTACCAATCAACCACGCGATTCTGATGATCTGGACATGACTCTGGATACGATTCCTGCACGTGGTGATGCATCATCCGTGGCCACGCCTGCAATAGCTGACGGTCCGAATGCCTACCAGGAGCTGACGATTTCGCAACAGTTCGAAGCGTCGAACCTTGCACAGCAAATGTACTATCGCAGTCAGGTGCAAGAGTACGAAGGAATCGTGCAGACCCTGATGGACAAGATCAAGGAGATGCAACAAGAAGATGAAGGATCTGGAATTCGCATTGAAGAATTGGAACGACAACGTGATCATGCTTGTTTAGCCATGAGGCACATCAACAATGTCAATCAGGAGATGAAGCGAGACTATGAAACAGCTTTGTTTCGCATGGATGAACAGAACTCTGCTCAACAACGTCAAGCACATGCCGTTGCCGAGGATTTAGCTCAACAGCTACACGTGTTCCGCACGGAGGCAGCCACCAACTTTGTGCAGTTGGAGGCAAGAGCGCAAGGTGATGGTGAGCTTATGGCACGTGAGTACGAGCGTCTGACTCATGAACTTCATGAACACGCCAGAGAGAACTTGGTCCTCCGGTCAAACACAGCAAGTTCGGAACAAGCCTTACAAGCAATGCAGGAACGATTCCACTTGGTCAAGAACCAGGAGTTGCGGGCTGTGAACGAGATCCAAGGGCTAGCTGGAAACAGCGCAGCCATTGAACAAGAACGATTTCGGCTTCGCGAACGTCTTGGTGAAGAGGAAGAGTACCGCAGAATGGCTGTGAAGAGGATGCAAGAAGCAGAGGAACGACTTCATCAGAATGAAGATCATGCAAGGCGATCATTGCCTACCTTGCACGACGAGCTGAGTGAACTCAGGAAAACGCTCAAAGCGCAAGAAGATCTTCAAGCGAGGACACGCAGCGAATTGGAGGCAGCGCGAAACTCTACTCAAAGGGAAGCGACGCGACCTTCGAGCATGCCCATGTCTTCGAGGACTACTGAGTCTGGCTGGGAGCACGTAGGAAAGGATGTAATGCCTGCATTTTCCGTAGGAGATGAGGTACGATCCCCTGAAATACGGTCCCCAAGTCAAGTTAGTCCAGTCGCCAAAGAGAAGTTCGCATTCTCGGAATCGGACAAGGACAAGAACCTTGTGATGGACGGAATTCCATTCACCGGTGGAAATTTCTTCACTGGCCGCAGTTCAATGCCAATCGTGGCGGATGCAATGCCCGAGCACCACGTGCCAGGTATTAGCAGTCCAGCGCTTGCGCGTTCCACGCCTAGTGCAGCCACGTTGTTTGGCATACCAAGCGGATTTCATGGGAAAAGTGATGCGGCAGCCGTGCGTGATCGACAGCTACGCGAACTCTTGGGGGATCGCGGGATGTTGGGATCGAAGTCCACAGCATCGGCCAGCTCCTCAAGACCTGTTGGCATCGACGGTGTCACCGCATCTACTAAGGGCAACGACCTCATTGGTCCCCCTGTCACCTATGACGATTCCATCCATGAGGCAAGAAGGCGTCAGATCGAGAAAGAGATCGCGGAACAGTACGAGGAGAAGATTGCTGATCTGCGTAGTGAAGTACTCAAGGCTCAGAAAGCCGAACAACGTCTCAGAGCTGATCGTGATGAGTGGAGATTATTCGCTGAAACGATTCAAGAAAACAATGGAGACGATGACGGTGACGAAGCTGGCGACGAGAATGGAGAGGAAGAGCATGATGAAGGTACCGGCACGGGGTATGATCCTCCGGATCCGCCTGACGATGATGATGACAAGAAGAAAGGTGGAGGGGGCAAACCCGAATCGGATCCTGGTTCGCATGCGCGTGATCCTGATGGAGATGCGGATCCTGAAGTTACAGAGGTGAGAATTTCCAGGAGGGAAGCCGACAAAGTGACCGTTCCTCCATGGCCTACTCTTACTCATCTCAACAACTGGCGATCTGTGTGCACGGCAAATGTCTTAGGGGCATCAGCCGACCCACATCATGAGGACTGGATGTTATGGCTGGCACCAGCGTTCAACCCATTCCCTGATGTCGAGGCATTGAATGATTCAGGACACAAGAAGTTCAAGAGCATCGACGTCAAATTGGGGATTGCCATGGTCGCAATGCTACGTGCCGGTGGTGACAAATCAGCTGACCTGTACCTCGAGGTGAACCGGAAGGCCAACGATTACATCAGCAGGCCTGACGTGAAGATCATCAAAGGACGACAAGTCATCGCGATGATGTACGAAAGTTTTCGAACGCATGATCGTCTTGACATGATCATCACTCTTGAGTATTTGGTGAAGCTCCAGTACCAAGGCGACAACAAGCTTCATACGTTCAAGCAGACGTGGTTGGAAGTTCTGGGACGGATGAGACCAGAGGACATTCCATCCAAAACAGCTCTCCGTGATTGCTTGTACAGCAAGATCAAGGACTCGCCCGCAATGAAAATGGACTTGGGCATGCACTATGAACACCTGCCCTACAATCATGAAGATCGATCGTACGACAACCTGATGAAGATCATTGATCGTACCATCATGCGGAAACGAGAACAGTCAAATCTCACTCAGACTCAAATTGGCTTGCGCCAGATGCTTGAGGGCAAGGATTTGCTTGCTGCACCGGCCAAGGTACCTGAGAAACCTACGCCTAACGCAGCTCCATCCGCAAAGGTCAAGGCTTCGCCGACCAAGCCGGACAAAGCAACACCTGTACTACCTCAAAGCAAAGCGAAGAGTCATGCGAAGACCAAGCCGAAGCCCAAGAAGAAGACGAGGAGTGAGTCAGCGGACAACAGAGGTGACAAAAGCAAGAAGCAAATCCGCTGCAAGTTCCATTTCACAGATGCAGGGTGTCGAAATGGCGATAAGTGTCCATTCAGTCACTCGAAGAAGACTCCAGAACGACCCTTCACGCCGAGGACGAGAACTCCAAGTCCATCTGGAGGAGGAGGAAACAGGATATGCTACTCGTTCAAGAACACAGGCTCGTGCTCAAGAGAGAATTGTCCTTTCAAGCATGAGGCAGCAGCTACCCCAGCTCCGGAACCAAAGGCAAAAGCTAAAGCCAAATCCGAA